GTTTTTTTTTTTTTTTTTTTTTTTTTTTTTTAATTTTATCTATTTAAATTATTAAAAAAATAATTTATTTATTTTTCATACTCATAACTATAATATATGCTCGAAAAGACTATCAAAGAAATAATAACAAGGGATCCGATATAATATATGCTCGAAAAGAATTAGAACAAAATTTATTTTAATTAGACTGATTTTATTGTTCAAACGAAAGTAATCATAGTTAAATTAAACATATCTCAATTAGATAAGTTATTATATTTTCAACAAAAAAGTCAAAAATTTGACTAAGATTACGACCGTTTAATTGATGAGTTATGTTCGTGTTACAATCAAATTCCGTCTTTATATTAAAAAAAATCATATACATGTAATAATCCTTTTTATTTATTTAAACATTATGATTAGTGACAAAAAATATATATATATATATATATATATATATATATATATTTATTTAATTTTAGATTACAATTTTAAGAAAAATATAAGATTCAAACGGACAACAAAAATATGATCATCACTTAAAAGTATGTTTTAACTTATTATTTGTCATTAATTCGTGACCTTAACCGTTTTATTTATTTTGGAGTATATTTTTAATTACAGTTCAAAATTAAATCCCGACATCACAATTGTTGAACTAAAAATATTGTGTATATTTCGTGGGTGTGTAACAATATTATTGATTCCGAAGCGTCTTTCTATTGCACATCGAGCATTCGAGATCAAAGAAAAAGTATAAATTTCGGTAAGATCCCACCTATTTGGATCCTATATAAATCAGTTATGAAAGGTTACGATTCACGACGGAAATCATAGCTACAATATAGAGAACTACTCGAACACATCAAGAACGAAAGTTCCCATGAAGTTAACGCTTTAGACCAACTTCTACTAGTGAGTTAGAGTTCGTGGTACGAGATTATCCTTTAAAGAGGTGGAATCGAGCTAGAGGGAGAGAACTCTTTAAGTGGGTAGATCGTCACAACGAGTGTAGAGCACTCCTTAAGTGTGTAGGTATCTTACAACACGATACTTCGAACACTAACTATCGTCTATAAAATTATAAATAATATCACGTACGCTATCTAATTTTTCCACCTTTTGTACACCGTGAAGATATTTTTTAGATCAATTTTAAATTTTAGGGATATAATTGAAACACGAAAGCTTTGGAATAATTTTATATTTCTTGTAATATAAATAAAAATAAAAAATATGAAAATGACAACAAAATTAGAAGCCTCACTAAAAGGTATGTTTTGGCCTATTATTTGTTTGTTCCTTATGACTTTTTAATTAAAACTTTACAAATAATGTTTTATTTTTATTTTTGTTTGAAAAAGCTAAAAAAAAAATTATATATATTTTTTCTATTTCTTTAATAGATAATAATTAATGGTAACAGGTTAAAATATTATAAAGAAGTGAGTGATTTGAGTCCTATTAATTCTTAAAAAAGATAATTATTTTTAATTATTGAAAGCGATGTTTTGAGAAAATATATTATTTTTTAATTATATTTTTTAATTATTTTTATATCAACTCAGGTGAATCATAGTCGTTATAAAAGAAAATATAACTTTATTGGAACGGTAGATTCATGGCTCAATCAACGAACCATTCTGTCATGCCCCCATATGCCCTTGACATTCATATTCATGACTGAACTAGTAACTTTTCTCGTCACGCTCCCTTGTGCTCGTATATATATGTATGTAATTTATGACATAGACATTGTGGTAATTAAAATACATTTTTTTTTAAAAAATTATCAAATAAAATGTAATTTATAAAAATATCTAGAGTAGATTTTGTTTTTACGAAATTATTGTTAATAAATAATTCGATAAACCAAATCAAATCTTTTATTAAATTTCATTCGTAAATATAAAAGCAAAAATTGAATATGTTAATAAATAAAACATAATTGAAAATGGATGGAACATAAAAATATTTAAAAATAAAAACATGTAATATAATTAAATTAGCTTCATAAAATTGCATGTGAAATAATAAATATCCATAAATAAATTATCATCCCAAATTATTTGACTTTATCATCCCAACATTTGCTGTCACACTGACATCTGTCACCAAACTTTTGATTTGTCTGTCACATTCCCTACCTCACCACTGGGTTTGACTTCAAAATCACAAGTCCTTTTAAAATGATTTGAGGTTTAACAAATATTAAATAATTATTAACGAGAATTTTTTTTTTTTTTTTTTTTTTTTTGTTTTTTCTGTCTATTTAATTTAATACTATTAATTAAATAATTATTTAATTAATGATTATTGATATTTTATCATTTTCTTCGATATTTATTAAATGGGATGGACTGAATTGAAAAATGTAAATGTACGGAGGGACTAAATTGACATATATATTCTCGAACCAAAATTAAACAAGTAAAACGAGATACGAGAATCAGAAGTCGAATCAATTGATAATGTACTAATTTTAAACTCTAATTTGCATATATTCTTATATTATATAGTTTCTAGAATCGAGAAGATTTGGGAAATCTATATGCCATCCCTTCCCCAAAATTTAGTGGATTCCCACCTAACAAGAAATATGGGACATAATGTGCCCAAAATCTTTGTACCAAGATCTTATATTAAGATGGAAAACCATATAATATAATATATATATACATATATGTCCCTCTTAATTATGTGTCATATGAGGCTTTACCATGCCTATGTGTTGCGTTGTCCAATGGCTTTGATTTTTAAGGACACCATGGCCCCATCATTGTGGGTCCCATCCCCAACAAAGTTCAACAAAAACATCGACAACATCGCAAAAAAGGGAAGTTTGGGATGTACCCAAACTCGTAAAAATAATCGAACTTGTTTGAAAAATTAAAATTAAAAAGATGTTATTTTAAAAAGTTTAGGGGCTTGTTAAACACAAATATAAAAGTTCATGGACTAAACTTGTAATTTAACGTTCTTTTTTACGCCATGAAAAGTGGGCACAAAATTAAAAGAAGAGAATTGAAGAAAAATTGGATGTGGACATTGTTGTTGGTCGGAAAGGGAGCTGTTTTTCAAACATAATTGCTTGGGACGACATTTAACCGACAACCCTTACCTCTTTAACTATAAATTACATTTTTTTTAGGGAAAATCTGTCATGGTTGACCTTTTCTTTATTTAGTCTCTATTTGTAACGTTTCATGCCCATGATTCAGATAAGGATTCAACACCTGATAGTCCCGACATTCTCTTGCGACATAGTCATGTTACCTAATCCTCGCTTCTTAAGAGTGAAGACTATCCCCACAGACCAACACGAGTCTTTTCAGCATATTTTGTTCTCACCCACATGCATCCAAAAAAATTCTTATGAAGTCATCTAACATAGAATTGCTCCAAGTAAAACACGCTTAACCATGAATCTCTTTTGATTTTGTCACTGAAAAGAAAAGTACATTTTGTTAGTATACTTTGATATTAGTATCTCGATCATGACGTACGTGAAATACTTATAGAACAAACACATGGATCTATGTAATAAATGGTGGAGGAAAGTAAAGAAGTAGACAAAATAAAATGGTGCAATCTAATTGCTTGAAAAAGAAGGTTTGTTGCACCTGATACTTTTGTGGGAAAAGATCATAGAATGGAAGCTTTGGTGGGATGATTTTGTAAAGAGGAGAAAAGAATATGAAGCAATATTGGAAGAAGGCCCCTTTTACAGAGCTCACATGGTGTGAATGATGGGAATGGACAATAATGGTGGTAGGTGAGGTAGTTAGCCAATGACCATTACGACCATTTGCTTCAATTTACTTCAAAACAGATCAAACACAAAACCCTCAACTAACTCTATCATGGATTTATAGTCTAAGAGTTATGATTATGGGTGAAAATTTTAACAGTGATCACTTGAATATGCAGACAGAGGTTAGAATTTCGTATAAACTTCAAACAAACACAAATAGAGGGCGACGCTTAGGTATCTAGGCCATGAACGTCCAACCAAGTGCACACGAACAGTTAGGAATCACGACTCTCTACAATGGTATAATATTGTCCACTTTGAGCATAAGCTCTCGTGACTTTACTTTTGGTTTCCTCAAAAGGCCTCGTACCAATGAAGATGTATTTCTTACTTATAAACCCATGATCAACCTCTTAATTAGTCGATGTGGGACACCCCTCCCAATAATCCTCAACACGAACAACCCACGCATCCACTTAGTCGTTGTGCATAGCCTCGACAGAAAAAAACTCTAATACTTAATGCAGTAATACAGTCTTTTCATTCAGCATTTGACACGTTATGAACCGATATATTATTTTATTTGCTTAGAGTGCGCCCCCAACTGGCTCTTGCTTATATGTATGCCCATACCTAGGGTGTTCCCCATGGACCAAGTAACCATCTAGGGCCTCCCTGCATGTGCCTACGCCCCCAACTAACGTCTAAACAAGTCCACTCCAAACCACCTACCTATGCCTTTCAAGGCCTATTTTGGATTGCCATTTGAGGCTTTTCCTTGAGCCTACTCCCCTCTCCTAGCTTCCCTTTGAAGGAACGCCTTTCGAGAACTCCAATTCAACCACTCGAAGAGCGAGTCAGCCACACATCCCAAGGCCTTAGTATTGGTCCTCAATACAATTATTTTGATTTTTAAAAAGGAAATAAATTCATGACCATTTGACGCTTTCTTCAGTTAGTGAAATGCTTTATCAAGCCCTTACCAAAAGACCAAAAAAACCTCACTCAAGAGTATTTAACTTCTAAACTTTCAAGAGTTTTAGTTACATTCCAGAATTCTATTCATGCTGACATGACAGGAATTCATTAAATAAATTTTGGTTAAACTGGTATGAAATGCCCAACAATTAAAAAAAATAAACTCACAAGAAATAGTTACCAAATACAAGTTTTGAAACGTTTCCTAAACTATAACGAGAAACAAAATTGATATTAAACACGTCTCTTGGTATCTATGACTTTATTTTGAAAAGGAAAGCATTGTCAAACAATTGCTTATTGATCCATATCTATCACCAACAAAATTATTTTAGGATGTTAAAGAAAAGGACGAAAAATACGAGCAATAAGAATAAAGAAAGTGGAATGGAGGATGAAAAATAATGCTAATAAACAGGGTGTGGTGATACATACGTTAGTGTAACAGAGACTTGAGTTTCCTTTACAAGTTCTTTGAACGCTCTTGTGATGATTTGTATATGCGAAATGCAGCAATGCACATTGTAGCATTTCCTATAACCGTTAGCATTGCCTGAAGGGGCACCAATACCTGCACTCAACACCAAATCCAAGTCATTTTATATCCTTTTCAGGGTGAGAACTGCACTACCACAACAAAATTTCCTGACAAACAAGAATCAAATTGAAGAGTGAAAGAGAAAGAGAGGTTGTTCATTCTTTTCATGGTAAGTCTGCCTTGTTCTTTTGAAACAACAGCAATGGAATCTGAATCCAGTCAACCTAAACCCAGAACAGAGATCAGCTTGGTTCAGTTTCTTCCGAAGAGAGAGAGAGAGGTGTTGAGAATTGTTGGGAGAGGAGTCTCACATCGACTAATTAAGGGGTTGATCATGAGTTTATAAGGAATACATCTCCATTGGTACGAGGTCTTTTGGGAAAACCAAAAGCAAGCCATGAGAACTTATGCTCAAAGTGGACAATATCATACCATTGCGGAGGTTTGTGGTTCCTAACATGGTATTAGAGTTGGGCCCTTAACTTAGCCATGTCAATAGAATCCTCAAATGTTGAACAAAGAAGTTGTGAGTCTCAAAGGTGTAGTCAAAAGTGACTCAAATGTCGAACAAAGAAGTTGTGAGTCTCAAAGGTGTAGTCAAAAGTGACTCAAGTGTCGAACAAAGGGTGTATTTTGTTCGAGGGTTTCATAGGCCTCAAAGGAGGCTCTATGGTGTACTTTATTCGAGGGGAGGATTGTTGAGAATTGTTGGGAATTGTTGGGAGAGGAGTCTCATATCAGCTAATTAAGGGGTTGATCATGGGTTTATAAGTAAGGAATACATCTCCATTGGTATGAGGCCTTTTGGGGAAACCAAAAGCAAAGCCACGAGAGCTTATGTTCAAAGTGGACAATATTATACCATTGTGGAGGTTCGTGGTTCCTAACAAGAGGTACTGAGGTAGTCTATATCCTTATAGAGAGAGTAAGAAAAGGATCTGGTTTTCACAGTAAGGTTGTTCTGGTTCTTTTGAAACTTTCGCCAATATAATTGGAATACTATCAGCCTAAACCCAGAGAGAGATCAATTTGGATCAGTTTTACTTCCTCAAGCTGTTCACAATCATATGTGACATCCGGAAAATACTTGCGTGATTACACAACAAATGGTTATGTTGGAAGTAATTTGAAAGAAACTTATGGCAGAGTGAAGCAAAGTAGAGGAAGGGAAATGATCGGAAGTTTTCTTCACTTCTATTAATTTTCAGAAACAATAACCATGAATCATACTAAATAATTGGTATTTAAGAAAATATAAAACAACTCAATCGAAACCAAGAAAATTTCAATTCATCTCAGATAGAAATCAAACGTCCCTAATTCTTTTGCATTCTTCCCCACCATCATTGAGCACAATATGAAGAACAAGTCAAATTTGATGCACAAAACTAATGCCATCCAGCAGATATTAACAAATTTGGATACTTTGCAAACATGTATCTGATGCTGCAATTCAAGCAATGAAGATAAAAATGGGAGCACTTCTAAATAGTTATAAATTTCATCAAGCTTCCTCTCCTAGGTGTTCTTAGTTTAGTTTTTTTTTTTTAAAACAAACTGCACCGTGAGAAATTCATAATTTGAGGACTTCTACAGCCAGTTCAAATACTTGACAGAACACGAAACCGAAATAGAAGAAACAGTTGCTCGGTAACAAAATTTCAAGATAGGAGTAGGAACTCAGAGTCCTGATTGATAACAAAACAAGCAGCAAGAAGTTGATTCTCCTTATGATCACAGTTCAAAGATAGAATTGAAAACCCAAAATGACGATGGACAGTCATAGACCCCCAATTAAGAATTTCCGAAGCGATATAGAGACAGGGAGTATACGTGGCTGCAGGGGAGAGTTTGCTAGGAAGAGAAATTTGTCATGAGTACCAAGGACTCAAGCGAAAGCCTGATGGAGCAATGCCGCGTGGAGGTAGAAGGCCTAGGGGTTGTGAACTTCTTTTCCAGGAGAAGAAGCAATGATGGTATCTGAGGGGTAGAGAGGGTACTTGTGCAGCGTAAGCGAGGGGGGCATTTTGGCTGTTTTGTTTAAGGTTTGGTATTGATAATTACCCTTAAAATATCAATAACAGGCAGTGTTCGTACCATTAAGTCGGGAGCCAAAGCTTCCTAATCAATGGTTTCCTTTAGGACTAATTTGAAGAGTTTAATCAAACTACACTGAAATGGTCTAAATTCCATCCTGAGCATAATTGAAAGAAGCTAAACTATATCAGCTAAGAACTTTAACAAATCATCATGATCAAGAACTAGATTAAAAATTCGTACGCATTATTTAGAATATACGAACACTATCAGTCATTTCATTACGTCCAGCAAGATCTTGCAAAAGCAGAAACTTACTATACCTCAAGAGACTCAGAATTGTAGAAAAAATGCAATGTGCAAGCACAAAATGCTCCACCTAGCAAGGGTACCTGCTCAAGTTACATAAATAAGTGGATGGGAGAAGATAGATGAAAAGGCAATTATAGACAAAGAAAAAGAACTTACCATTCCCCAAGAAAGTCCTTTCCAAGACTCATTGCCAGATTTCTCTCCATACTGCCACACCAAAGCCATTGCTGCAATCCTTACGACACAAGACTTGTGATCAACAAATTATACCAAGCTAGCCAGCAGCAGCATATGAATTGCTTGGTTTATCATTCTTCCTTTTCCTTTAATTTCTTATTCATCAAATGGGTAACTAAAATGCAGAGTCTATTTCCATGGAAATAATTAAAGAACACTAGTGAATTATAAAAGATTGAATATACTCTAACCTATCACTATAAATTTTTAGGTTTAGTGCAGTTTGTTAGGAATCACGACTCTCTACAATGGTATGATATCACTTTTGCATAAGTTCTCATGGCTTTGCTTTAGGCTTCCCCGAAAGGCCTCATATCAATAGAGATATATTCCTTACTTATAATAAAACCATGATCATTCCCTAAATTAACCAATGTGGGACTCCATTCCAACAATCCTCCCCTTGAACAAAGTACACTATAGAGTTTCCCATGATGCCTATGGAGCCCTCGAACAACCTCCCCTTAATCGAGACTCAACTCCTTTCTCTGGAGCACTCGAACAAAGTACACCGTTTGTTCAACACTTGTGTCACTTTTGACTACACATTCGAGGCTAGCAACTTCTTTGTTCGACACTTGAGGATTCAATTGACATGGTTAATTTAAGGGCATGACTCTGATACCATGTTAAGAATCACGACTCTCCATAATGGTGTGATACTGTCCACTTTGAGATAAGCTCTCCTGACTTTGCTTTGGACTTCCCTAAAAGACCTCATACCAATAGAGATGTATTCCATACTTATAAACCTATGATCATTCCCTAAATTAACTAAGGTGAGACTCCCTCCCAGCCGTTTTGGACAAAATTTTCAGCAACATTCCTACATTTCTCTCTAAAATTAGTCGAACTTCTCATGAATTTGGAGAAATTATCACTCCTTACAAGCACGTTGAAGATGATAACTAGGGAAATTTCTGGAAAAAAAAACATCGAACAAATTCCATTTCTAGAAATCATTACAAAACAGATTGAAAAATCCTCACCATTCAACGACGATGGAAACATGTATGGCCCAGGTGGGCAAGGACAGAGCATTCTGGGGCTCGTTAAACAGAAGCGAAGACTGGAATTCCGTCGCAGCAGAAGGCAATGCAGGTTCAAGAAGGGAGAGAGTGAAACCAGTGCCGAGCAAAACCAGGATGGACTTCGAGTCCAAAACCCGACCGGCGGAGCCTCTCCGGAGTCGAATTCCGGTAGGAAGTTGAGAAGTAGCGGCAGGATCTCTGGACGTGGGCAGTGAGGAAGAAGAAGAAGAAGAAGAAGAAGAAGAAGAAGAAGAAATGGAGCATTTGGGGATTGAGAAGGAATGTAAGAAGGTGGAAGAGAACGACATGATTTGAAAATTGGGTGGAAAATTCAGTAAACACTGAAAGATTTGCTCTGAAAACAGCGAATCGCCATCATCTCTATGATTTTGGTTTCTTCTTCTTCTTCCTCATTTTCCCACTAAATTATGTTAAATATGAGTTTTAATTAATTAATTTATGTGTTTTATTATATGCATTTTATTTCATTTTATTTTTATAAAAATGAAATGAGTTTATAAATGTATATTTATTAAATATTTTTATATTTTTTATATTTTCAATTTTAAATATGAATATTGCGTCACTTTTTCATATTTATTTTATAAATAAAAAAAATAAAAACTCAATTGTTTTAGTTTGAAATTTTTTAAACTAAAAAAAATCCTTACTAAATAAATTTTTGGATTTTGATGAGATCGTTTATTCAATTTTTTAATTTTAATATAAGAAATGTTAATTTGTAAAACATGTATTTAGTTTATTTTTAAACATTTAAATGAGATTTAAAATTTGATTTTAACATATATTTTTTCAAAATATTTTAAAAATATTTTAGAGAGAGCTTAGTTGGAGAACAAATAACCAAAAATAATTATAAAATTAAATAATATATATATATATATATACATTGCGAGTAAAAAATTATTTTTTTAATAAACGAATTTATTGATTGATTAAATCTAATATAGTTTTAGGTAACTTACTAATCCGCCCAATCTATACAACTTTTATTTATTTGAATCTTTAACTGAATCTAAATAAATTCCTAACTCAACCTAAATGGAATTGAGTTTATAGAGTTTTTTTAAATAATTTTAATGTTTTAATTAATAAAAATTATACTCAATAACCTTCTAAAAATCATTTTCAAATTTCAATCGCGGATTAAAAATTAATTTTACGTAAATTAAATTCAAATATCAATAACAAAAAAAAAATGTTTAATTTCTAAAATTTAAAAACCAAACAGAAATTAAAATATTTTAAAACTTTAAAAATTAAAATTCAGTTGTAATGTATTTAAAAAAAAAAAACAATAACATTATATTTTGTAAATTAATGGAAAACTCAAACATCTACCAATTCTTATAAATTTGGAAGAATTAGAAATTTCCTTTATTAAATAAATTTTTTCCCTCTTTAAATATTTTTCAATTAGTAAATATTATTTTAAAATTTAAGTAATGGAATAAATTGAAAATTGTTAAAAAAAAAAAGTAAATGGATAGATACACTGAATCTTTTTTTACACCCAAATACTATGAACTAAAAATATATATTTAGAAGAAAAAAATTACATAATTAATATTCGAAATTAAATATTTAATAATTATTTACTATAGAATAATCAAAATTATTGGTTATTTTTTTAAAGGAAGAACATTATTGATTCATTATTATTTGGTAGAATAAAAAAAGAATTATCCAATATTTTATAAAGTAATTTAATTATGATTTTTTATTTTAATTTGCAAGTGGATGCCGCATAAGGGAAAACCGAATAAAATTTAAAATTTAAAAATTAATAATAATTAAATCCAAAATGTCTTTCCCGTCGCCGTCAAACAGCACCGCCCAGGAAACTAGACGTTAACTAGCGGCGCCCAACCGCCCATCCAAAAAAAAAAAAAAAGTAAATTATTTTAAATTAAACATAAAAAGTTCAATTAAAAATTATTATATAAATTAAATTTTAATTTAAAATAATAATAATAATAAAATAGTTCGAATTTGGCGACGCTGAAACTCGGTGTAAATAGAACGCGTCATGAGTCCTTATCTCACTGACCGTGACGGTGAAGCCACGACAGACCAATGACAGAAGAATCCACCATAGGATTAGCCAATTATACTCTGCCGTCTGTCACCCGGCCCTTCACAACCACCCCACGTGTGAGCCCACTGGCGATTAGCGAAATATCAAACAACGGCAATATTTTTTTTTATTTTTATTTTTTATTTTTTTTTTTTTAATTATTTTATTGTTTCAAGGAATTTATTGCTTTTCAGTTTCAAGTTTTCTCTTCATTAATCAATCCTCCTTTCTCTGATTCTCTTCCCCCTTTCTTGTTCGCTTCAAATTGGTCTCATTCCTTCTCACACCCTTCTTCGAATCATTCATTTCCCTCTCTCCCCCTTCGTTTTCTAGGGTTTTTCTGAATTTTCGCATCAATTTTTTCTCGCTCGACAGTTCTGACGTGGGTAATCACCGGAGGAAGTCCATTTTTGTGATTTTCGAGCTTCTGGTGGGGGGTTTTGCCACCGATGACATATTGTGAGACGGATAACGGCCGGAGAGGGGAAGTGGTGGCGGAGGATATCACGGTGGGAATTGGATGTGATGATGGTAATGGGGACTATGTTAGGTTGGGACAGAACCCTTGTAACTGTGAAGCTGAGGTCTCGTCTGATGGGGGTGCTTCGCAGCCTTGTTCTCCAGGAAGGTCCTTGTGGCTTTGGTTTCGTTTGGTGGTGTTGTTCATTTTCTTGGTGTCATTAGCTGTTGTTTTCTTCAAATGGGTTGGACCATTCTTCATGAATAAGGTCAGTGTTTATGTTAAATTTTGACTGCAATTCTGATGTTTTTATATTGGAATTAAATTATAGAGTGTTGTCGCTTGGATTTTGCTTTTGTATTTTAGGTTTTTGTTGAATTCTTCATGGAATTGCCTTGTCTCTGCTGTTGTGTTTCTGGGTTTGATTTACTTGCTTGGTTTTGAACCTATAAAACTTGGTTCATAAGGTTTTTTATTGTGGTAAGATCAAATTCCTCTTTAAGAAAATTCTTTGTATGGTAATGTCATATTGGAATTCAATATGTTTCTCAGTTCTTCTTCTTGCAATTTTCTGGATTATGTTATCTTCTAGTGAAAAGATAATAATCTTGAAGAGTTCAATGAACTGTGTAGTGTTTCATTTTAGCCTGACGGATATGTCATTCGCTACAGGAAATAATACCGATTATAAACTGGGAAGCTGAAACGTTTAGTACTCCAGTGCTGGCAGTTCTCGTTTTCGCCTCGGTTGCACTGTTCCCTTCATTGTTTTTACCATCTTCACCTTCTATGTGGCTGGCAGGAATGACATTTGGTTATGGTTTTGGGTTCCTGTTAATTATATCAGCAGTAACTATTGGTGTATCACTTCCATTTTTCATTGGCTCCCTATTCTATCGTAAAATTCAAGTTAGTGTTTGTTTTAAGTTTATCTTCTATTCGTTAACTGCTCGACATAGTTCGTATCCCTTTGTAGCTAAACTCTGTGCCCCTTATTTTGCAGGGTTGGTTAGACAAATATCCTAAGAGAGCTTCAGTTTTAAGATTAGCAGGCGAAGGAGACGGGATTCATCAGTTTCGTGCGGTAGCACTAATTCGAATTTCACCGTTTCCTTACATAGTATATAATTACTGTGCTGTAGCAACAAATGTCAGATATGGTCCGTACATCTTGGGGTCGCTGATTGGAATGGTGCCAGAGATATTTGTTACTATATACACGTACGTATGCCCCTCGAACCACACTCATACATGCACATGATGAATTCCATCTTTCTTGGATGCTTGCTTGTAAATTTACATTCTCTGGCATTTGAAAACTTAGGAATCAGCCTCATATTCCTGCTGCAAGAAACGAGAACCATTTCCACGTCGATACAATTGTTTCATTAGCTAGCTTGGGAACTTTTATGCTGTAAAATGTTAAAGGCCTTAGTCTCATTTAAGTCGATTTTGATATGACCACATACGTTGTAAGGAAATTCGTCAAACTTTTCATTGAATCAGTGATCATAAAGTACATTATTGTGGAATTTATGGAAAATACTCGGAAAAATAATCGAGGGAGACAATTTAGGGAGTTAATGTCTAGTGTGACTGTGTTGCAGTAAACTAAACTCGTTTATTATCACTTGAGATTATCCGATGCATGTTAGGTAACTCAAATACTCTCGGATATAGGTAAGAAAACATGGTGTAGGATTAAAGAGTACTCTTTAAACTAAGAAACTAAGTGACATGTGATATGAAAGAATATTGAAAGTTCCCTTTTTGTTTTGACAGGGCATGATCGGTTTCTACACTGTTTTTCCTCTTTGATATTGCCTGTCTAGTCTTTGAAAATTTCTGTAAAATATTGTGGATAAGTTGGATTATGAATATGATTAATCTTCCTTTTGTCACTGTAGTGGCATTTTAATCAGGACATTGGCAGATGCTTCACAAAATCAGCAGTTCCTCTCGGCCCCCCAGATCGCATTCACGATCGTCGGATTTTGCGTTACTGCAGCCACGACGGTTTTCTTCACTGTATATGCAAAAAGGAAACTCAACGAATTGCAGACAGAAGACGAACAATTATTGCAGTAGTGAGGCTAAAGTTACTTATTATTTGAGCACATAGAGCCACTGGACAATGGTTGCATCGATCAAACAATTTCATATCCATGTTCGGTTTCAAAGAAGCTTTGAGTGAAGGTAAACAAAGAACTACGCAAATATCTTGCACTAGATATCATAAATCGATTACGAAACTCACACCGAAAGCATGAAATGAAATGAAACGAAACAAGTATGTTGTGTTTTATCACTTTGTCTGCTTTGAAATCTCGATTTGTAGTGGTTGGAATGAGGTATAATGAAGTGAATTAGATTGGATTTAGGCAAATGCAGGGTGGTGGTCTGTATATGAAATGTTGTAGTGTTGTTTGCTGATTATAGTACATAATAATATTCTTTCTTCTGCTGCTGAATAGTTTAACAGTGAATCAGTGTATACAATTCCCATAATTGTTGGCCTCACATGGAAGTTCTTTGTGTTTGCCTTTATCTCTATGCTTGTGATGAGACTGAAGGATAATTCCACTGTGAGATCGAAATATCTTTAAAAGAATCTTATCTTCTGCTGCTGCTGCTGCTGCTAGGTCCTACTTACATGGATAGATTAAGATAAAATGGATGACTTTCTTTTGGACTCTTTCTCGGGAAGAAGAAAATATTGGATGTTCTAAGATCGTTCTATTACTAACTTGAGAATATCTTACGTTCTAAGATTGTTCTATTACTAACTTGAGAATATCTTACGTTCTAAGATTGTTTTGTCGTTTAAGATCGTTCTATTACTAACTTGAGAATATT